TTACGTTTTCAACTCAGTTGTTAACACTAAATTACCTACAGATGGTCACTTGTTTGTCTGTCATCCTGGCATGTGTTACCCTCTTTAAATGATGTTGTTACTTATTAATAATAAATCGAGCGTTTGTATTCTTTCTCTCTTAGGTATCGGTGGAGAGTAGTAACCTTTACATAGAAACTTTCCCGCTCGTAATCTTTCCCCTCTTTCCAACGAACAGTTGCATAAAACTTCTCGAGAATTTTATTCAGGGCCTCCCGAGTTCATACTTTTATAGCCGCTTTTGGAAATCCAAGACATCCAAACTTTTCGCTAGTTTTTCGTCCTTTGTTTATTGTTTTTGTTCATGGCATTCCCTCCCAAACTCTGAATCAAAACTTTATAACTCCTAACCTTCCCGCGATCTAGTCTCGTTGCGTTTTCGCGACTTTCCTGTCAATCAATTTAATTTCAACTTTCTGCACTGTATGGGATTGATTGACGCGATCATACGAGATTCCATCATTCAACTGAAGGGGACTGAGTAATTTGTAGGAAAGAGAAAGGTCGATGGAAAGAGGTGTACACAAGCATAGCAGGCTCAGAAGGTAGGCATATTGGCGTCAACGCGCATGCTCAGATTGCTTACATGGTGACTGAATTTGGGAAAAACATTTACCAAGAGATTGCTTACAAAGTCACGAGAATAAATCCGCTTTCTATCAATCATGTGAGAGGCAATCACGGAGGCATCAATCTACCGAGTTACTTTTGATAAAGAGAGAAACTGAAGAATTAAAAGAGCCATGCCGAAAGTATTTAAGAAGCTTCACCACTCTATTCCAGAACTTGAAATTAAAGAGAAAACTGTCTTTTCGCCATGTTTCCAACCGTATGGACAAAAACAGAATGTTAAAAGAGTCAGTGGAGAACTTCGCACTTATTCCCAAGCGGGGTGGTGTGCTTGGAGATGCTCCAGCATCTTTGGGCTAAAAATCTACGTTCCTCGGATTGTTGGGGACAATTCGTTTCGCACTCGGTCAGTTAGAGTTTTGTCAACATATAAAAGAAGCAGGGCTGCAATGTGGCAACGAAAACGAAATTGTTAAATCCGAGTCGCTTTGGGTGAGAACTCAACGATTTGACACGATTGGACATTGGAGAGGAGCCGGGCTACCACACAATCACAGTCAGAACATTATCCAATAAAATTTTGTTTGTTGGTCTGACTTTCATTTAAAGTAGATTTACTTTCCTTTGCTCAGTAATAAGCAAAGCAAAGTGCACGATAATCATAGTGATCAAAACTATAACAAAATTCTCCAACGTGATTGGTTCTCACCAACTCGATTTGTGTAGATAATCACATGATGTCTAATGCAATTTAGGATAAATCAGCACGAGCAAATTTTTGAAAGGCTAACCAATTGTCTTTGGATGTTCTAAAAACTTGACTACATGGTAATTGCCGTTTTGGATCGTTCTCATCTGAGAAGTAACAAAGTTTTTTCGCCTTCTATTCCACCCCACGGCGATTTGCTCGGAGCATAAGTAGTTATGCTCAAATTGGAATTCTTGCCTAAAGTGGTAGCTTTGTGCATGACGAAAGCAGCGTGTTTGTTAGTGAATCAGTGTTCTGGGACATGAAGCAAGGTTGGCCAGGCTACCAAGTTGTTTTCAAAATAAATAAAGAGGGTCAAGGTTAAATCCAACGCAGAATCTAAGCACATATGTTGTAGTTTCATTTCAATTTACTACCAACTCAATCCTCTCCGTGAAACCGACGTTAAGCCGCAGTTTGCTTCCAAAATTTCTATTTCAGACGTTTCTAACGACCTGCGTCCACATTCACCACGACACCTTGAAAAGCAGCTTGGTAACCCTGCCTCCTTTGCAAACCGGGCCTCGTCGAGGACCACACACTCGGCATCCGTGGCTCTAAAACATCTCTTTTTATGTGCTTTGGCTTTGCGTTAAATTTGTGGTGGCCCAGTCACTTTGAGCTTGGAGTTTTCGCTTCTCGGATCGGGCGTGTGCAGCCTTGGGCTTCTCTTATGAGAAGTAAACTTAGAAATGGATAACTCGCTAAAATGGGTTCTTTTCAACGTAGTAAGCGGTCAGATAACAAGCGATGCACTGTGGAAGTAAGGTGAGGTATCTTTATTGAGAATTTGACTGTATTCTCATACAAACTCTAATAGTTTCGCCACGACTCTTATTTCGCAAACCTGTGGTATACTTAGATTAATCTTTGGAATCTCAAAAACCGCATGTAGATAATTGTTTATTTGGTGTTGGAAAAACCTCTCCTTAAAGCTATTCTGAAGTTTTAATCGTCTCTCCATTCCAATATGACTATAGTTTCTCGCATTTTCCGGAACGTCTGTACAAAAATAGCACGCTATGAAATGAAGACTAACAGTGGAAAGCTATTAATACGCAAAGTTGTTTTCATCAAACTTATTTTACGGCCGTGGACAAATTTGTTTCGTGTTTTCTCTGCGATGAAACGCAAACCAAAAGACAGTCAGAAACCACAAACAATATAACCCATAGCCACAATAAGTTTCTTAAAACAGTACGCCAATTGTTTGCTTAATCAATATTTTTAATTTAAAGTACTTCGCCAAGTGGACCCGCATACCGCTATTTTGACGCAAAACAGAATATTATATGCGTGAGAGGACACACAGCATAAGGTCACGCTAGTTCAAGCCGATTCATATTAAAATATCTTTGAAACAAGAAATGCAAATCGGTCCCTCCACGCTGTGATAAAACTGTTGTTAGCTCTTTCCCTTTCACCGACTCATTCTGAACTCATAATCGCAAGCGCACTCAGACACGGTAAGTTGTCTATGATGTTATGGTTTGATTCATATTTAACGATAAGATGTTTGCATAAATTGAGATAAAGGTTCTCTCATCCTTACAGCAAAGCTGATTGAACCGGGCGTATGCAATTGAAAAAGATGCCAAAGTCTACCCTTGTTATCTACATCTTTCTTGTCGTCATGTTCATCATCTTATATCATCTTCACACAATGACGAAGTTTTCGCTTAACATAACGACACCTCAGCAAGTCACGGAACTAGAAAAATTATTCAAACTGCGGGATGAATTTAGTATTATAACTCCTGACAAAACACTTGTATCAAGAAGTATTCAAGCTGGTAATTCTGATCGCTTCAGACATGTTCTGATGAAAGCGTTACGGGGAGAAAACATCAGCATGTTGGTGATCGGAGGCTCTCATAGCGCGGGAGGAAAACTAGGACTTGACGAGAACAGCCTGGATGGATTGTATTTCAAAGTATTTCAGAAATGGTGGAACGAAACCTTTGGTAGTTTTGCAAAATCCTTTTTGAATGTAACTGCGCTGACAATTGGAGGCACGGGGAGCTCTTTCTACGCATTTTGCTATAGAACTTTTATTCCCGAAGGCACGAGCTTCGATATAATGTTGATAGAAATGTCAGCTAATGATAAAGGACGAGCGACGGCGAAACCACTGGAACAACTGACGAGACAAGCTCTTTCATATCCTTCGGCACCTGTGGTCTTCTACATAAACGTAGTACATGATTTCGGAGTTAATCCGTATACTAAAAAGATGGAAAATCCATCCTGTGTTACCCTCGAAGACTTTGGCCAAACAGAACTTGCCCGTCATTACGACATTACATCATTCAATTTGAGAGAAATAATTTGTAGGAAAGTGAAAGGTCGGTGGAAAGTAATGCACTCAAGCATGGCAGGCTCAGATGGTAAGCATATTGGAGTCAAGGCGCATGCTCAGATTGCTTACATAATGACTGAATATGTGAAAAACATTTACCAAGAGATTGCTAGCAACGTTACGGGTATAAATCCGCTTTCTATCAATCGTGTCAGAGGCAATCACAAAAGCATCAATCTTCCGAGCTTATTTT